TGTGGCAGTCAATGTGTTAAATAGTATTTGTCCTTCTGTGACTGGCTTACTTCACTTACCATAATGTCTTCAAGGTTCATCTATGTTGTCACATATGGCAGGATTTCCTTTTTTAATGCTTAATAATATTCTGTTGTATGTATATGCTACATTTTCTTTAACCACTCATCTGTTGATAGACACTTAGGTTGTTCCCACATCTTGGCTATAGTGAATAATGCTGCAATGAACATGGGGAGGTGGGTAAATGCTGCTTCTAAATCTTGATTTCAATTCTTTTGGATAAATACCCAGAAGTAGGACTGCTGGATCATATAGCAGTTCTTTTTATTTTTTTGAAGAACCTCCATACTGTTTTGCATAGCAGGTACACCATTTTGTATTCTAACCCACAGCACACAAGGGTTCCAATTTTTCCATATCTTTGCCAAAATTTATTTTTTAACAATAGCCATCCTAAAAGGTGAGGTGATACTGAACCCACACATATTTATTGAGTGCTTCTGCACTGAGGTATTTGCCTCAATTGTATTTATGTTGTACTTTCGGGAGACTTACTGTCTTCTAAAATTAGGTTATTAAGTATGGAATGTTTGATTTCCTTAAATTTGACAGCTGATATTTCTAACATTTCACTTTGACACTTCTTGAAGTTTGTTTTTTTTTTATTGTGAAGGTACATCCTCCTTCTTTCTAATGCACATTTGTCTTGTGATTATCTTTCAAATTATTTTTAGAGCAATTTTTGTGAAAGCATGGATAAATAAAAAATTTGTGTTATTTTGGAATGTGAGTTCCGTCTTGGAACAAATGCAGCACAGACAGCTTGAAACATCAATGAAGTGTTTGGGAAGGATGTGGCTAATGAACACCCAGCCAAAGGAGCAAGAGAGAGGAGGGAATGCCAGGATCTTTTTAAACAACCACCTGTGGTGTGAACAAATACAGTAAGAATTAACTCATTACCTCAAGGAGGCCACCAAGCCATTCATGAGGGATCTGCCCTCAAGACCCAAACACCTTACACTTGGCCCCACCTCCAACATTTGGAGATTGAATTTCAACATGAGATTTGGAGGGGTAAACATCCAAACTATATCAAGTGATCATTTTTCTAATTTGTAAGAATTTTTTATGTGAAAGGCATTAACTCTTTGACATATGTTACAATCTTTTTATTTTCTATGCTACCTTATTCTTAAAGCACTTTTGAAAGATGTTAGTGAAGATTAAAGATTACATTTTGATATCTGTTAATATAGGCCAAATGTGTTACCCCCTTCCTTTGATAGAGAAATAAATGATAAATCAGTACTTTCCACAAATTTAAAGTTTTTAATAACTTTTGGGTACCAACAATGTGCTAGGTGATGGTAATAAGGCTGCTCTCTGACCCAAAGGAGGTAACAATCCAATAGAGATCATTTTCCCCTCAAATAACTGCTTTTGTTAGAAGCAACTCTGGAATTCTTTTAATTCTCATTATCGAGAAAAGAAGCAGGAAAACAGAAAGTTAATTTTAAAATAACCTAAAACTATTAAACACAATTAAACTTGTCAATAAAAACTAATTCCTGCTTATGTTTTAAAATGAGGCTGGACACGGTCACCATGCCTGTAATCCCAGCACTTTGGGAGGCCAAGGTGGGAGGATCACTTAAGGCCAGGAGTTTTGCCTGGGCAATATATAAAGAGCCTGTTTCTAAAAAAAAAAAGAAAAAAAATTAGGCCTGATGGTACATGCCTATAATCCTAGCTACTACAGAGGCTGAGGCAGGAGGCTCACGTAAGCCAACAGTTTGAGGCTACAGTGAGCTATGATGATGCCACTGCACTTCAGCCTGGGCAACAGAGTAAGACTCTGTCTCTAAAAATAAAGAAAGAAAAAAACCAACTAGTCTACAATCTAAGTATTCAAAAAGCATAATATTGAACAACTTAAGTCTGAGTTGCTCTGGATAAAAACCACCTGTTACTATCAGAGCAGGTCTAAAAAGTATGCCATGTGAATTTTTTGATAGCCCAGTACTAACTATTGAGGGTACAAGTAGAAATCCAGAGATGCAAATATAGCTAACACTATACTTCTGAAAATCTCTATGGAATCTTAACTGAATGCCATGCCATTAACAAACAGTTATAATTCTTGAGCCTTTTGAAAAACATCTGATGCTTACACATAAATTATATACTTCATGCTTTGGTTTACAAATTATGTGGTAAGCACCCTCATCTTCCCACCAGTGAAAGGAAAATCTACCCAAGCTACCTGAAAAGAAAATCTTAAAAAGAAGGAACAAGCACATTAACATCTTTTTGGATCTACAAAATGGTATTCATTCAAGTTCACAGGAATTGGTTTGTAGAGAAAACTATGACTGGTTGGGAAGTATGCCTGGATTGCTGATAGGATCTATACTACAGGTATTGGCAATGTTTTACAAGTGAAATGATGAATTGTTGGTTCAACACCAGAATATGAATTGACAGCATTCAATTACTCATGGAAAAGTAAAATGGTAGGAAATAGCTGAAGATCATATCAAAGCATTATAAATGTATCACAGGGCCAGCCAATACTTCTGTTTCTATTCCAACCTACCATTTCCATACCTCACACACCTTTCCCACTATAAACTCAATTGGCGAGTTTCTTTCAAAATCAAGTATCAGGTAAATGTCTTCTGTAACTCACATGAATTACTAGAAATAAATCAATTTATTTAACTGAAAAGATTGAGAAACAGTGATATTAAGTGACTTAACTAAGATACAATGTCAGTGGTGGTAGAATGAGTTTTTGAGTCACACCAAGATATTGCCAAATGAAAGGGAATTTTATTTTGAGGCTAGAGAACTAGAAGGATAATTTGAGAGAAAAGGGTCTTCAGGAAAAGATAGGTCTGAGAGGAGTCTACAAAATGAGAAGCTTTTGATAGCTAAGCCAGCTAGAAGTGATTGGCACCTAGTACTCTTTGATAAGACAAGTGGGAAAGTGTTTAAAGGAAAAGTCAACACCACAAAGTGAAAACAACCTAGAGAGTGGGAGAAAATTTTACAAATCACATATAAGAAACCTGTATCTAGAGTTTTTGCCCGTTTGTTTTTTTACTTCAAAATAAGATATGTGCAGTATGCATAGGAATTTGTTCATAGTTTTTTTTAAACTATAGTCTGGCCCTCCAACGGTCTGAGGGACAGTGAACTGGCCCCCTGTTTAAAAAGTTTGAGGACCCTTGATCTAGAATATATAAGGAACTCTTACAATTAGATAACAAAAAATCAAATAATCCAGTATGTTTAAAATGAGAAAAGGATCTGAATAAACATTTCTCCAAGCATAATATACAAGTGGCCAATAGGCACAAGAAATGATACTCAACATCATTACTCATTAGGGAAACGCAAACCAAAACCACAATGAGATACCATTTCAAACCCCCTTGACTGGCTAAAATAAAAAAGACAGACAATAAAAAGTATTGGTGAGGTTGTGGAGAAATTAGAACCTTCAAACATATGGCAGGAATGTAAAATGGTACAGCTGCTTTGGAAAACACTCTGGCAGTTCCTCAAATGGCTAAATAAACCTAGAGTTACCAAATGACCCAGCAATTCCACTCTTGGGTATACACCCAAGAGAAACAGAAATATATGTCTACACAAGAATTTGTACATGAATTTCACAGCAGAAGTATTCATAGCCAAAAAATGTAAACAACCCAAATGTCCACCTATATATGGATAAATAAAATGTGGTATACCCACATAATGAAATATTAGGCTATAAACAAGAATGAATACTGACATATACCACAAAGATGAACCTTGAAAACATTATGCTAGTGAAAGCAGCCAATCACAAAAGGCCACATATTGTATGATTCCATTCATACAAAATTTCCAGAATAAGTAAATCTATAGGGACATAAAATAGATTAGTGGTTGCTTAGGGTTTATGGGGGTAGAGATAATGGGGGGAGGGTAACAGCTAAAAGGTTTAGACTTTCTTTCTGGGGTGAAAATGTTTTAAAATTGGTTGTAGTAATGGTTGCGCAATTCTGTGAATATACTAAAAACCAATGAATTGTACACTTTAAATGGATGAATTGCATGGAATGTGGAAGATATTTTAATAAAGCTCTCAGAAAGGAAAAGTTTCCCTAACTGGTATTTTCTGCAGCAGTTAATAACTAGTAGGCAGTTATTTAAGTAAGAAACTTAGGAGTAGCCAACAGGTGTTCCAACAGTTAAATTACTAAAATGGCAATATCTGAACTGAATGCTACAATAAAGATTTGGGGATTTGGTGTGGCAGTGGATATCATTACAGTCATGATGGTCTTTGCCCTAATTGCAGGAATGATTTAACGAAGAAAACAAACACCTAATAACAGTGAAAAAATAAATGAAAAATGATGGGTACAGAGGAGATAATTCGGAGGCAAGACAAATAACTTAACGATTGGCTAGACTTTATTGAAGTAAATTCTGGTCCTTGACAAGGTATTGTGGAGAGAGAGTGTAGATCAGTAGATCAGTGGAGAAGGCGCAATTCATGTTGGGGGGCGGGGGGGGGGGGGGAGACATGAGTTGAACGATTTGAGGCAAAGGGGGTTAGTTGGAGATAAGGCGAGAAAGAGTGCAGTGCAGGGACGTAGTTGATAATTTTATTAGAGTAACATGGCTATGTCTTAATCAAGGGTCAAAGGGCTATTTTCCATTTCGTAAGGGTCTCTTAGAAACAAAATGCTACAACTCAACAGGCTAAAGTAGTCTTTCGAAGGAAACTTAAAATCACATCGGATTACTAACTCTAACGACTGAGTTCACTTTCCGTCTTAAAAAAATGCAATAATCGCACTTAAAGGTTTTATAAGGAATAACAAAAAATTCGTATCTTGTGGCAATGAAAGCTGCAAGAACGACATGGCTATGCACAGGCTTGGAAATTAAGGCGCCGACGAAGTCCCCAGGGGGCGCCGGGGATCGAAACATACCTCATCACCCGAGGGAGGAGGAGACGCGAAGGCATCCCGGGGACTGCATTTTTGCAAGTAAACCCGGGTTAGGCCCTCCCGCTGGGAGGCTGGCTGCGACCAGAACGTGAACGCAGAGAAGCTGCGGCAGTCGAACAACCAGATCACCGCGGTCCCTCACAGGCCCGCCGCGGGTTTCCATGGCTAACGTCAACTCCGGCTGACGCCACCCAGAGCAGAGCAGTACGCGCGCGCTCAGGGGTGGGGCGGGGCGCCCGGCTCGCCCCGCCCCCGGCCTGCGCTCACTCCCCAGGCGGGCCCTGCCCTACGGCCGGCCAGGCCAGGCGGAGGCGGGGAAGTGGCGCACGTCCTTAGTCCTTGGTCTACGCCTATGCTCGCCAGGCGAGCGGTCGTGGGAGTCCTGCCTGCTCTGGCTCCGCCCTGGGCCGGGGGGCGGCATCCACCGTGGAAACAAGCATCGCAGTACCAGCCCTGAACTTTCACCCGGGCCGTGCCCCTCTGCGCAAGAGCGTCGTTGCCCTGGTGACGTGAAGTTCTTCCGCTGGATCGTGCTCACCGAGCTGATAGACGTGCGTCCGCCATTTTGCGAATGTCCGGTCACCTGATGTCGGGTGGAGTAGTCTGTCGGCCTGCTCAAGGGTGTAGTAGGACTCCAACCGCTAGCGTCTCGTCTCGCGGTTTCCTTTAACGACATCCACACTCTGGCCGTCACCACCCATCACACCGACGGTAATGAATGTTTTTAAGTGATACTTCATGCGCCCTGTTTGGCTTGGAAGATTTGGAACTGCGTACACGTGCTTGCTACCGCCCCTTTCTTGCATTTTTCCCCCCATGAGTGGATTTGTAGCTACTTTTTTAACATACAAGGAACCAAAACGCCCATCATAGAAATGTCAATTAATAAGGCGAAATTCTCGTATTCCAGTAAAAGCGGTGTGGCTTTTATTGCGGCGTTAATTTCAGACCGAGAAATTTTCAAAGGCTGGCCACAAAAACCTCAATAATGACAGTTAAAAAGTTATCCGTGTGCCCAGTGCCCACCTCCTCCATTTTCCACGAAATTTGGTTTCCCCCATAAATTCTGTACACTTTACAGATTGCCAGTTGGGAATCCTCAAGGCGGGCCCTGAGAGTTTTAGCAATGATTGACCTACACTGATTTAGAGGTTTTCTGCCTGATTGATAACCTAGCAGTTCTGCACACCTGGGACTCCTAAGTGGCTTGAGGACTGTCTCGTTTGGATCTCCTCACCTCAAAACTACAAAAGTGGCCTTCCCCCTCCCCGGCTGATGATGGTGCCTTAATTTAAGCATTTAGGTTTTCAAGTAATAATGGAAAAAAAATTATTGTGTTATTGTTAAAGCCAAGGTTTTATTTTTAAAAAAATAAATACATATAATGCTGTTCGGAGGATAAACATACTTCATTGAAAGCAGGTGGAAGAAAACCCTGTGTAGTATCAGTGATGTGCGTAATTTGTCTTTAAGGACACAGTTTGCAGATAGAACCTTTCCTAGTTCTGTGTCCTCACAATTAGATTATAGGAAAATGTGCTTTTGGTCCATCCATAATATTTCCCACTCAAGCTCACTCATCATGGGTCAGAGTACTACATTCAGCGTCTTTGAATCATCAGTTACTGCTAAGAAGTCTGACTACACTGTGACTAAGAGTAGAGGCTCCAGAGTCAGGAAGCCTGGGCTGAAACCCTGACACCACTTTTGACTATTTGTGGGGTTACCTCATTTCTCCTGTGCTCAGTTACCTCACCATATCTCCTATCTGGTAAAATAAAACTGATAATAGAACTTAGCCCACAGAAAGTTACGTAGATTGGAATAAATCTACATATGTGTAAATCACATAGTAACTGACACAGCTTAAGTGCTTAGTATGGATGAACTATTATCTTTATGCAGGGAGGCTGTATTTATAATGCCCATTTTTCTTACCGGCAATATGTGAGTATGTGTGACCCAAACAGAATTAACATTTTTATTGTTAAAAAACCTGCTGTTGGTTATTTGGTTTCTTTGTTTTTTTAAAATATATTTGAACATTGCATTTACTTAGATAACATTAGTAAAGCTTATGGTACAAGGCCTTTGGTTATTATCTGTGTATAAAATATTCAACATTTTTGAAAAAGTGAATGGAATTGTGGTTCCTATTTGTCAGGAAGCACACCAATTGCTTCAAAGTCAAATAAAACACAATGCTTAAGGAATTTACCAAAATATAACTTGGACATCAAGGATGTAATTTGGACAATAAGGACATAGTAAGTATGGAGTGTGTGATAAACAGGTACTGAGCTATAGAAACAGAAGTGGGACACAAGTGATTCTGGGGAAATTAAGGGTGGCTGCAATCTGGTTTCCAAGGACAAGTAGAAGATAAATGGGTGAAAATATGGGAGAGGAGGTATTTTGGATAGGAGAACATTCATTCATTCATTTAACAAATATTTAAAGCATATATAGAATCAGGTGCTTTGTGTATCTCATTTAATCTTAACCTTATGACAGCTTATTGTTAGTCTCGTTAAAAATATAAGGCATCTGAGCTTCAGAAAAGTGAAATAAATGATGAGATCTGGAGTTAAGCCCTTATCTCTGTCCAAGATTTGTATATTTTTTCTACCTTGCTGATTCATGTAAAATGAAACAGATTGTGAAGAATCTGGAGCTGCTGCTTCAACCAGAGAAAATATTTAGCCACACATTATCATGACACATGTTTCTGTGTAATGGTTATGCCTATTTTCACTTCATACTTCAGTTACTTCTTTTGCTAAAAAGCAAAAAACAATAAATAAAAAAACAAAACACAGAAAACACACCATGAAACTTACACTCTGCCCCACTGCCTAGAGACCACTGGCTGGGGAGCTCTGAAAATAATGCAAAGCTGCAACACAAAGTATGATGAGTGAAATCAGGCTTGGTGTCCATAGTTTCAGGTACCTTAAAATAAATAAGCATAGGAGGAAGAATAGTTTTGGAAAGAAAGATAATGATTTCATGTGTTTGAGAAGCTGGTGTAATATTTAGGTGGATATGTCCCGTTAGAAATAAATGATTGGACCTTGGGAGAGAGGTCAAGACAGAGATTTGGGAGTATTCTGTACTTCAACAACAACAACAGCAAAAACAAACAAACAAAAAAACAGTTGATGTCATAAGATTGAAAGAGAATGCCAAACTTTAGATCTTATGGGGCAAGAAGAAAACCAAAGAAGAAAACTGTCGGAAAAGAATTAAGAGACTATAAAATAAGATGATCAATTTCTTATATGGCTTGTTGAAATCTATCTCATTGCTTTATGTCACAGATCATTATATGCATATAAAAACAGATATGAATGAGCATGTGGTAGGTAGATAATTTTAGAATGTCTTAGCTTGTTCACAGCATGTTGGTTGAGTGACACTGAGTTGTGAGAATATTAAAGACAAGGAGTGATCAATAATTATAAAAATTCACTTGAGACTTAATATGGAAAATCTCATATCCCATAAACATTAATAAATAGAACCATCAAATAATGTATAATGTAATCATAGCTTTGCCATTAGTTGATGTTAAGCTTTATTTTAAGATACAATATATTTTAAATTATAGTTCTGAAAAATGTACAGTAATTACTGTTGGGGAATGTAGGGTGAGAGGATAGTTTCTCAGAGTTTGGTTATATTTTAAGAATTTTGAATCTTCTCATATAGCTTTAAAATTTCACGATTATTCCATGTAAATAACTTTGTAGATTAAATGTTTAATTTTAGGGCCATTTGAATTAATATTATTTTAGAACATTAGCATTACCAGAAACTTATTTTGGATAGTTTAAAAATTGAATACAGGTGTTTAAGAAAGAGAACACGGTAGACTTGGTAGACTGAAAATCAGTAAATTGGAATATTTAAAAGGCTAGAGTTTAAGTTTTAAATTATGTTATACTTTATAAAAATTTATGAATATAACTTCACTGAAAGATCAAATTTTAACAATAACAAAACTCTGTATAAATATCCACAGCCATATTTACAATTTTACTCCATAAAAATTAAGTTACCTCGGAATTGAATATGATTCCCCTTTATGTTGGCACACATAATTGATAGTTGACTATGCAGATTTCATAGCCTATTCTAGCATCCTATACTAAGATTGGAATACCAGTTAACTTCTATGACAGTGTTACCAAGGATATCATGCATTATTATTAATATTCATTTCTAAAGATAGTACTGAAATTAGTAACCTCAAGTAGATGCCATTTTCCTGGCATTTGCCTGCCAAGTTCTCTGTTTATAAATGTACTAACTTTAGAATCTTGTGGACATCTTCACTTTCCCATTGAATGAATATATATGAAAGTGCAGTGAACAAGTTAACTGAGAGAATTTCTATTTGGCAGAACAGGTGAAATTATGTAAGAATGGGGGGAATAGTCAGGTGTAATTTGCCTAATTGTGGAGGAAAGCCTTTGTGCCCTCTTAGAATCTTTCCAGCCTCATGATGCTATTACTGTTAGATGAAAAAGTCCACATTGGTTAGAATTACTTCCTACAGTTTACATTGTGATGACCTATTTAGGTTAATATATTTAAAAACACAAAAACTAAAGATTATTCACATTAAATATTTTGGGAAAATGAAACCATATTTAGCAAATAAAATTTGTACATTAAATATAAATATCAGTCAGTATAGTGGTTTATGTCTATAATCCCAGCCTTTTGGGAGGTCAAGGTGAAAGGATCACTTGAGGCCAGGAGTTTGACACCAGAGTGAGGCAACATAGATGATGCCTGCAATCCCAGCTACTTGGGAGGCTGAGGTGAGAGGACTGCTTGAGCCCTGAAGTTCCAGCCTGGGTGACAGAATCAGCCACCTGTCTATTAAAAAAATGTGTATATATATATATATATATATATATATATATATATATATATATATTAAAATACAACCCCACCAACAAAAGCCAGTGTTGGTGTGATGGTAGATTAGAGGTACATTTTGAAACATAGCTTGGCTTTATTTAACAAAATTGAAAATGTAGTTTCCTTTGAAACAGAAATTTCAGCTCTAGAATTATACTTTACAGATACCTTATCTAAGTGTGCAGCAATATTTGTACAAAGAAATACTTAGAACATTTGTAATAGCAAAAACAAAAATTCTTCAGTAGGGAAAAGGTAAAAAAGGAGGTATATCTACATGCACTTCTATGCAAAGATCTCCAAATTATGTTAAGTAAAAATTTAAAAATTATAGTCTGTATAGTATGATTTTATTTATGTAAAACTGGAGGTAAACATGAGCATGTTTTGTATATGCTTATTTCTGAAGGATACATATGAAATTATGATAGACCTTGACCTCAAGAGGTTTATTGGAGTTTGATGGGAAAGTGAACTTTTACTTTTTATCTTATAGTCATGTGCTATTAATAAATTTTGTAAGCAATCAATATGTATTATTTTTATAATCTCTAATAAAAAATTACAAACAAAAATTTGACAAAAATATTCCCCCTGTCCCCCCAAAGCCTTACCAAGTCATTTAATGTGTAACCAGTAAAAAGGTATAGTGGATTTTTGTTTTCATAATAGTACCTTATCCAGAAAATAATTTGGAATATATTGTTAATTTCTCTGAATAAAGAAATAAGTATTGATGCTTTCATAGGAAAACAAATGCTATATTGTTTTTTAGTGTT